GTGCGTGCCGGGGATCCGAACCAGCGAACCCCAGGCCGCCGCAGCGGAGTATGCACACTTAACAGCTTGCGCCACCGGGCTGGCCCAGAGAGCTGATTTTAATGGTTAAAAAATAGGTGAAGAGTGGGGCCAGCCCGGTGGCGTAGTGGTTAAGTACACGCACTCTGCTTCGGCAGCCCGGGTTTCGCACCCGGGGTTCGCAGGTTCCGATCCCAGGCGCACACCGACGCACCGCCTGTCAAGCCATGCTGTGGCGGCGTCCCATATAAGGTAGAGGAAGATGGGCAGGGATGTTAGCCCAGGGCCAGTCTTCCTCAGCCAAAAAGAGGATTGGCATCGGATGTTAGCTGAGGACTAATCTTCCTTACACACACACAAAAAAAAATAGGTGAAGAGGGCATTAAAACAATGTTTTATTGTCCCAAGTTGAAGGTCTGGGGTGTTTTTCAGCTGATAATAAAGAAGGCTTCACTCCTACCCTGAGATCTATCTTGGAGTCATCTCTAACCATCTTCACATCTGATGTGAATTTGCACGGCATCCATCGGCAAAAGTCACTCTCCGTACAATGCAGTGACTGGACCGATTGTTATCACCCTTCTGTCTATTGTGTTAATTCAGATCCCCCAAAATTCTTTTATTTACTTAAAATACACCTTCAGTGTAAGTGAAACACTCTTCTAAGGACTTTACAAATATTAACCCATTTAATCCTCATAACAGCTCTATGAGGTGAGTACTATTATTAATCCCATTTTACAGACAAGGAAACTGAGGCAGAGAACAGTCACACAGCTAGGAAGTAGTAGATGCATGATTCCCACCCGCAGACAGGCTTCACAGCCCATGCACTCAGACCACTGGCCCATGCGGCCTGTCCTAAAGACAAAACGGACTAGACAGAGCACAGACCTAAGTGGACACAGCATGCCCTAGTCATTTGAGCAAACACTGATTGGGCCTGGGCCAGGCTGGTGGTACAACCACAAATATGGCCTGTCCCTCCCCTCTGGAGTGCCCAGTCTAGTAGCAGAACAGACAATAACCCAAAATCACCATCCCTGTGAGAGGAGCGATGAGCGAGGGTGTAAGTGGGTGGACACCTCACTGCCTCTGGGGCAGAGACACCACCAGCAGAGGATTCCTGCAGAGGGTGAAGCTGGAGCTCACGTTGAAGGGCGGGTGGGATTTGACCAGCTGGCAGAGAATGAAGGCACATGAGCGTGCATGACGGTTTTGTGTAGGGCACAGCAAGTTGCTCAACTTGGCTAGAGACTGGGGATGGCTAGAGGGTACGGCAGGGGATGGGACTGGAGAGGTGGCTGCCCAGGCTTGTCTGAGCAGATCGTCCGCTAATAAACACCCAGAGAACAGCCATGGTCTCAGAAAGCACACATTCTGCTCCAACAACCCATCAGACGGAAGAACACCCTGGGAACAGTGGGCCTGCCTCTGTGGATTGTTAAGGCATTTCCTTGGCCAGAGACTTTTGCTAAAATCTTTCTCTCCAGGTCCTGGGTCTTTGCCCGAGGGCCTGATTTTGAAACTGCAGCACCCCCCACATTCCTTCCCCATGGAGCTGGCAACCAAATCTTACGTGTGTAAATTATAGATGATCCCATGGAGGATGGAGTAACACCTCACAAAAGGAGTGACTGCCCTACCTCCTAACTTCTGAGGGCTCCTGTCCCTGTGAAAAATAACTGAACTCTAGGGATAAAAGTAAATTCCTAAATCCCAAGACAGTCATTTTGAAACATTGTGTCAACTTCTGTCACATAAAAGACCCAGAGCAGAGCTTCAGGCCTGTGTGCACATGTCTTCATAATACCTCCAAACCAGCGTGGGTTTAACATGTCTCCTCTGCTGGTAAGAGTCCAGACAATTCTACTTTTTAAATACTTGTTTTGATTTTTTTTAAGCATTATGCCTGGAAGACACTTTAAGCCGAGAAGGTAATTTGACAAACCTAATTACACACACGCAATGCACACGTCCTACATAAATACACATATATGTTCAAACAAAAAGGCCCGGTTGGACTGGAACCAAATGGACATAAAATTAATTAACATGATTTTACGTTATTCTCTACTTAATGCAAAGAGCTTTGCAATGACTTTTATTCTTGATGGCTTCCAACAACCCCACAGGGAAGACTAATATCATTTAGCCATGAATATTGCAAATAAAAGGAGTTCTGTAGAGATTACAGGGTGGCTATGATTTTGTGTGAAATGGAGCAAAATGTTGAGACAAAATCTGGGTAATTCAGGAGAGAAAAATACTAATGCAGAAAAAGAAAGAGAACATCTACTCCAACATCCCCATTTCACAGACGAAGAAACAGAGGTCCAGAGATAACTGGCAGTTGAGCCTCAGGTACATGGCCCGTGAATGCAGCATCAGGACCAGAGTCACCTTCTCTGACATCTGGTTCAACACTCTTTCCAATTCCTTACTTCTCAGACGGTTTACACATAACCACCAGAGGTTCACAGAAGACAGCACACAGGGCTCCCTGGATAAAGCTCAGGCATCCAATGGACTTGAAGACTAGAGGGGAAATAATACTATTTCATTTATGTAACTTGTACATCATTCTAATATTTAAGCATTAGAACAATACAAAACTAGTATGGATTTAAAATTTTTTAATTGTATGAATTTTTTCAAAATACAACAGGAGACTTCAAAGAAAGGCTGTGCTTGAGAAGCCTCTTGGACACAGATCATCTGGAGGAACACAGCCCCACTGCCGCCCGCAGCCTGGACACAGCAGTGCCTGCTCCCCGGACTCAGGTGCCCGGGAAGTAGGACAAGTCCTCTCAATCTCCCTCACCCAGACTGGGTCTGACTCCGCAGAGCTGAAGGACGGGCTGGGAAAGGGAAACCTTCCGGAGGGACATATCGGGGTCTGGTCATCCTCTCCAGAGGAAGGAAAAGGAATGAGGTTGACTTACAGGAGAAGTACACATGGGAGAGGGACCTCTGGGAGAGCTACATAGCTACCGGGAAGTCTCCGGAAAGAAGAGCCAGCCCATCAGCAGTGCTGACGCCCAGGGGAGCAGAAGTATTTTCCGACTCTAGGTATAAAGGCCTGTGTTTGCTCTTGATGGCAAAGAAGAAAGGCTCAGTCCACCACTGGGCAGAAGGAAGTCCTGAATCCGCCACACTGCCAGACCCAAGGGACCAGAGAACCCGCCTACGATGAAACCTTACAAGACTGTGGTTTAGAACGTAAGGGATGTGGGCCGGCCCCGTGGCTTAGCGGTTAAGTGCACCGCGCTCCGCTGCTGGCGGCCCGGGTTCGGATCCCGGGTGCGCACTGACGCACCGCTTCTCTGGCCATGCTGAGGCCGTGTCCCACATACAGCAACTAGAAGGATGTGCAACTATGACATACAACTCTCTACTGGGGCTTTGGGGGAAAAATAAATAAATAAAATTAAAAAATTACAACGTAAGGGATGCAGTCCCAGGGCAGGGTTGTCTCACTGTTCCCTTAGCGAGGAGGAGATGGTTCATGGATCAAAGCCATGGTGGCCACTTGGCCTCTCCTGGTCTCAGCCTCCAAGGCTCCTACTTCCACATTAACCATATCATGCTATAGCTCCATGCTATAGCTTTTCCCTCCCTCGCAATTTCTCCCTGCTCTTGGCTCTAAGAAAGAACCTCTGCCTTCTCCAGCAGGCCCCTCCTGGCCTCCAGGGTTCAGAGGCCGCATCCTGAGTTCTTGTGTGCTTCATATTCTGTTTTCGTTTCAAACTACTAATCCTATCTTCGTCGTAGCTGCCCGTGTGTGAGTGTCCTGTGCCTTAGAGCACTCTAGGGCATACAGCAGCTCAGTAGCTTGTCTTTCCTATTTTCATCAGTTGTATTTATCAGATCAAAAATTAATCTCTTGAAAACATCTTTGCCTAGAGAAAATTCTTCCTCCTTTCTCTGTGACCAATTTTTCTCTTTGCATGAATCTTTTTAAAAGTATTTGCTGTCTTTCCAGAATGTTAAATGTGTTTGGTTTTTTTTTTTTTTAGTTCTATTATCTTATCAGTCATAGAACCTCAGATATCACCAATAAAATGAATTATAATAGAACTGAGAAATATCAACTTAGAAGCTTTGGAAGGGCAGATTAATCAGCATTACAATCACCAGGCTTAGAGGCACTGAGAAGAGAGGGCAGTAGCGAGACACCAAACTAAAATCAGGCATCAGATGAAAGCCTTCTCATTATAGACTCTATCCTACGACCAGGACACCAACAGTCAGGCACACACTTCTTGGCAGGAGACTGGGGAATTCTGGAAAGACACTGAATGGCCCAGAGAAAAGATCTAACAACTCTGATCTTTAAGGCTCCCCTGAACACAAGGTCCGTTTATAGCCTGATCACCCTACAGAGAAGCCCACCTTATATTTACAGATTTTTCCATCAGTGCTGTGTGCCTCACATTTAAATGGGAACAGATAACCAAGGATCATTAGAAACGCAAGGAAAGACTTCAGTATGACAGAGTGAGATCATAAAAACAAATAGAAAAGGAGAACTTGGAGGAAATGGATAAATTGCAAGGAAAGGAGAGGAGAGACATTAAATCCATATAAATGTCATCAGTGAGTGAAAAGAATGTAGCGTTCATGAAACAGAAACTAAACCTATTTTTTAAAAAATAGCAATGAGGGCACAATTCCAATTTAATTGGAAATTAAAATAGATGTGAAAGCAAAGAGAAAACCTCAGTAAGGGCTGGAATATGATCTCATTCAAGGCAATCTCCCACAGCAGAACAAAAAGACAAAGAAATGGAAAATAGCAGCTGAGTAAGAAAATTAGAGAATTAGTTCAAGAGATGCAATGCTGAAATAATGCAAGTTCCATTAAAAGAGAACAGAGAAAAACAGAGAGGAGCATTCAAAGAAATAATGTGAAGTTCACCATGTTCAAGCACAGTGAATGAAGAAAGACAACCTCAAAATTTCCAGGAAGAAAAAAGCAAGGCGGAATAAGACAAAAGGAAGCTTAGAACAGGAGAGCTTAGAAACGGCATCCAGCACACAGAATGGTGAAGGGAAGGCCCAGGACACGGCTGTGTTTTAAGCCTGGAAGTGAACCCCGCCAACGTGGAGCAAGAGGGCAGAGCAGAGGAGGGAGGCTGCACGGGACCACGGGACTGACGGCATGAATGGCGCGTGAGCATCTGGAAATAACTAGTGACAGACATGTGCAGCTCTTTTGATGCATTTGGGAAACACAGCAATAGGTGCAGAGACAAAGCCAATAAAAAATGAGATATTAACAATTCTAGGAATAAAACAAAACATAATTATTAACTTTAACTTTTAAATTTCATTGATTATCCTGGAATGTTATTGTCAACCTGAAAAAAAAAAATTAGTACCAGAGAGGAAACCTATTATATTATGTTTGGCTCATATTGGCTCAGCAATGCAAAACATTTACAACAGTCGTAATAATGTAAACCTGATTATTTAACCAAAATTTGTGATATAACTACTTTAGAGAAATGGGTGAGGTAGCTAAATCATTTTAGTACTATGTACTTGTATGTGTGCACATATTATTTTGATAAAAGTAAAAATTAATTTAAAGTGAATAAGAAAAAGCTGTGGAAAATAGTATGGTGGTTCCTCAAAAGATTAAAAATGGAATTACCAAATGATGCATCTATCCCACTTCTAGGTATATACCCACAAGAATTAAAAGGAGCATGTCAAAGAGATACTTGTATACCCATGTTCATAGCAGCCTTATTTGCAATAAGCAAAACGTAGAAGCAACCCAAGTCTCCATCAACAAATGAATAGATAAACAAGATGTGGTCTATCTATACAATGTAATATTATTCAGACTTAAGAAGGAAGGAAATTCTAACACATGCTACCATGTATGAACCTTGAAGACATTATGCTACATGAAATAAGCCAGTCACAAAAAGACATATACTATATGATTTCACTTATATGAGGTCCCTAAAGGAGTTACATTCATAGAGACAGAAAGTAGAATGGTGGAAGCCAGGGGCTGGAGGTAAGGCGGAATGGGGCATTGTTCTTTGATGGGTACAGAGTTTCAGTTTTGCAAAATGAAAAGAGTTTTGTACCAGTTTCACAGCAATATGAAGGTACTTAACACAACTGAACTGTACACTTAAAAATGGTTACGATGGGGGCCGGCCTCGTGGCATAATGGTTGAGTTTGGCATGTTCCACTTCAGTGGCCGGGGTTCACAGGTTCAGATCCCAGGCATGGACCTACACCACTTGTCAGCCATGCTGTGGTGGCGACCCACATATAAAGTAGAGGAAGATGGGCACAGATGTTAGCTCAGGGCTAATCTTCCTCAGTGAAAAAAAAAAAGTGGTTAATATGGTAAATTTTATGTTATATGTATTTTACCACAATTTCTAAAAATCTTTCAAAAATGAATAGGAAAAAAAGCATGGTGATCCAAAAAGTTTAAATTCAGAAATGAAAACTTTAAATATACATAAAAGGGGAGTTTGTTATCTACTAATTGACTTTAACTTTCACTGATTGTCCTGAAATGTTATTCACAACCTGAAAACAAATTTAAAAACAAATAGTATGCTTCTATTCATATATAAGTAAAACAGTTAAGAATGAAATGTCGCTGTGTGGTTGTTGTTGTTGTTATAATAATGTAACTTCACAATTGCTATCATGTTTTAGCTTAAATCACTGTAGTAAAATAGCACAAATCCAGGTGGGCATCATATGAACAAACATACATGAAAAACTCCAAATATACCAAATGATGAACTGTTTCACTATAAAAACATTAAAGCATAAATCAGAATATTTCTGCTAAATAATAAGGCTCCTTTCAAACTGCAGAGCTGCATATCTTGGCTATGAGTTTTACCTAATAGCCTTCCTGTCCATAATTTCAAAAGAGAGAATCTGCACATTTAAACATGAGGCTTCATTCTATTTTATCTAGAGGAACCATCAAGAACTGGTGTTATGGCCCAATTGAGTTTCAAGCATTCATCAAGAACCTGTAGCACACAAGGTGCTGTGGTGGTGGTGGGGGGGGTGGTGAGACCCGAGGAGTCCCTGCTTTCCGCAGATGCACGCCATGACCTGCTTCCAGGTCATGAAGCTCCTCCCTAGGTTCTGAAGTTGGATGCTGATCCTCTGTTTTAATCCAGTAACTCAACAGCGTCTGTTCTGGATCACAGCTTATCTAAGGCCATGAGTGAGGGAAAGGCCAGCCAACTGCCTAAAAGATAGATGGACCCTTAGCCCGGATCGCCTCTACCCCTTCTACAAAATGTAATTGAAGGTTATAGTTTTATGCCATTCTTGTCAAAAGCTGGAGAGCGTCCGCCTGCCTAAAGAGAGACTCCCAGTTTTCTGCCCCTACTTTCTGGGGAATTCTTCATTGTTCAGTGTGTCAAATTTTTTTAAATGACAGATACATTCACCTTTTCTAACTCTCTGGTTAAAAACAAAAATGTAACAACCTCCCTCCCATCTCCCCATCACCCAGACTCAAGACCCTCAGGTCCAGGGCAGTTTTCAACACTCACCCCACTGACTGATGAACAGCCCCTGACAGACACGGTTGGGCAGACTCCTCCATGTCTACTCCACATGCCCTGTGGGAAGAGTTAGCAATGACTCAAACCATATCCTGCTCTCCTGACTAGGTAGGTAGACTTGAGCTTGTCATTTAACCATTATAAGTCTTGGATTCCTTATCTAAAATGTAAGGGAAATAGAGGTCAGCCCAGTGGAGTAGTGGTTAAGTTTGCTACAGTGCTGCACTTTGGCGGCCTGGAGTTCGCAGGTTCAGATCCTGGGCATGGACCTACAGACGGCTCATCAAGAAAAAGAGGAAGATTAGCAACAGATGTGAGCTCAGGGCCAATCTTCCTCACTAAAAAAAAAAAAAAATGAGGGAAATAAACATATTTCACAGTATTGCTCTGATGATTTTGTAAAAAGATAATGTAAATAAATGCAACACAATGTCTAGCTCAAAGTAGGCCCTTCATAAAAATCAGTTCCTTTCCCTGGAGACATAAAGCCCTTAGCAGCTTGGCCTGGATTATAACCTAGCTTCCAAAATGTCCCACGCCCTGGGAGCAAAATCACCCCAGAATTCACTGTTTTTAGAAGTTCAGCTTGGCATAAGAAAAGTTCACGCCCCAGGATTGACATCAGCATCATAGAGGACTGAGCTCTTCTCTTGGACTCTCCCCCCAAGACACAAAGAAAAGGACATTCATAAACCAACAGAGGACATTCACACAACACAAAAGATGTCTGAGAGATGCACGCAGCCATGTCTGAAGGTGGAGGTGCTGGACCCCCCAGAGGAAGTGGAAGGAAGGAAGGGGACCTCTTCTCCCTCCCAGCAGTGACCTAGGGTGTGGGACCATGGATGGCTCTGAGAGGAGGGGGAAGGGGTGGTGCTCCACAGGAACACCTTCGCTTTCCAAGTTCCCTCACAGCCTGGGGGAAAGATCCACACAGAGGAGGCTAAGCTATTGCACAAGTGTCTTCATCAAGCTAGCACCATAGGAGAGCAGAGAGCAAGGGCAGAGTGAGAACAACCCCAGGATCACACGCACAAAAGCGCCCCTCCACCTGCCTGGTGCTCCCACTCAGCCAGTCAGCCAGAGCACCCTTGCAGACAAGAGAAAAGCAGCAGCTGTGAGCCAGCGAGCCTTGGATCACGGCAGACTCAGAATACACGGCTCCTGACCCCCACCCAGTGGTGGCAGGTGGAATCTGTGACCACATACTATCACTATGCAGAGGCACAAATCCACACCATCAAACAGTATGAAAAAATATATTAATACTCCAGACCAGAAGGAAAATGACAAGCACCCAGAAATCAATCCTGAAGGCAAAGAAATTTATAATCTAAATGACAGAGAATTCAAAATAGCTATAGTAAAAAAACTCAATGAGGTATAAGAAAATACAGATAGACAGTTCAATGAAATCAGGAACTTCTTCACAAAAGAGATTGAAACTGTAAAGAAAAACCAATCAGAAATGTTGGAGATGAAAAACACAATGGATGAGATAAGGAAAAATCTGGACTCCTTGAATAAAAGAGCTGATATTATGGAGGAGAGAATCAGCAGTCTGGAGGACAGAAATATAGAAATGCTTCAGGTGGAGAAGGAGAGAGAACTAAGACTAAAAAGAAATGAAGAAATTCTCTGAGAAATATCCAGCTCAATTAGAACTGCAACATAAGGATTATAGGTATTCTAGAGGGAGAAGAGAAGGAGAATGGAGCAGAAATCTTGTTCAAAGAGATAGCTGAGAACTTCCCAAACCTGGGAAAGGAGCTGGAAATACAAGTGGAAGAAGCCAACAGATCTCCTAAATATATCAATGTAAAAAGACCTTCTACAAGGCATATAGTAGTAAAGCTGGCAAAAGTCAATGATAAAGAAAAAATTTGAAGGGTAGCAAGGCAGAGGAAAATAACTTACAAAGGAACCTCTATCAGGCTTTCAGCAGATTTCTCAGCAGAAACATTACAGGCTAAGAGAGAGTGGAATGATATATTCAAAATTCTGAAAGACAAAAACTTACAACCAAAAATACTCTATCCAGTGAAAATATCCTTCAGATATGATGCAGAAATATAAACTTTCCCAGATAAACAAAAACTAAGGGACTTCATCGCCACAAGACCCCCACTATAAGAAATGCTCAAGAAGGCTCTCATACCTAAAAAAAAAAAAAAAAGAAAGGGGTTACAAAGCCTTGAGCAAGGAGATAAATAGGTAGACAAAATCAGAAAATTGCAGCTCTCTATCAGAACAGGTTAGCAAACAATTATAACATTAAAGATAAAGAGAAGGAAAACATCAAAAATAAATATAATCTCATCATTTTAACCACAAATTCACAACACAAGATGGAATAAGTTATGACAATAATAACTTAGAAGGGGAAGAAGGAAGGGATGGAATCTGCTTATCTAAGGAAATAAGAGGCTATCAGAAAATGGACTATCTCATCTATGAGATTTTTTTATGCAAACCTCATGACAACCACTAAACAAATAATCAGAACAGAGACACAAATGATAAATAAAGAAAAAACTAAGAAAACCATCATAGAGAACTACCAAACTGAATTGGTAGTCCCAAATACATGGGATAAGAAACAAGGAAAATGCAGAAGAACCAGAAAATGAGCAATAAAATGGCAGCATTAAGCCCTCATATATCAATAAGCTCTCTAAATGTAAATGGATTGAATTCTCCAATCAAAAGACACAGAGTGACAGGATAGATTAAAAAATAAGACCCAATAATATGCTGCCTCCAGGAAACACATCTCAGCTCTAAAGACAAACACAGGCTCAGAGTGAAGGGATGGAAGATGATACTCCAAGCTAATGGCAAACAAAAGAAAGCAGGTGTTGCCATACTTATATCTGACAAAGTAGAGTTTGAGACAAAACAGGTAATGAGAGACAAAGAGGGGCAGTATATAATGATAAAAGGGACACTCCACCAAGAATACATAATACTTATAAATATACCTGCACCCAACACAGAAGCACCAAAGTACACAAAGCAACTATTAACAAACCTAAAAGGAGATAGTAACAACAACACAATAATAGTAGGGGACCTTAACACCCCACTTACATCAATGGATAGATCATCCCAACAGAAAGTCAATGAAGAAATAATGGATTTAAATGAAAAACAAGACCAGATGGACTTAATAGATATAGAACACTCCATCCAAAAACAGCAGAATACACATTCTTCTCAAGTGCACATGGAACATTCTCAAGGATAGACCATACATTGGGAAACAAGGCAAGCCTCAATAAATTTAAGAAGACTGAAATCATATCAAGTACCTTTTCTGACCATAACGCTGTGAAACTAGAAATCAACTGCAAGAAAAAAGCTGGAAAGTGACAAAGATGTGGAGACTAAACAACATGCTACTAGAACAACCAATGGATCATTGAAGAAATTAAAGGAGAAATCAAAAAATATCTGGAGACAAATGAGAATGAAAATACACCATACCAATCCACATGGGATGCAGCAAAAGTGGTCCTAAGTGGGAAATTCATAGCAATACAGGCCCACCTTAACAAGCAAGAAAAATCTCAAGCAATCTTAAACTACACCTAACAGAATTAGAAAAAGAAGAACAAACAAAGCCCAAAGTCAGAAGAAGGAGAGAAATAATAAAAATTAGAGCAGAAATAAATGAAATTGAAACAAACAAAAAAAAAAACAGTAGAAAGGATCAATAAAACAAAGAGCTGGTTCTTTGAGAAGATAAACAAAATTGACAAACCCTGAGCCAAACTCACTAAGAAAAAAAGAGAGAAGGCTCAAATAAATAAAATTAGAAATGAATGAGAAAAAATTACAGAAAATACTATGAATAAATTAAGAGAATACTATGAAAAACTATATGGCAAAAAATCAGACAAGATAGAAGAAATGGATAAATTCTTAGACTCATACAACCTCCCAAAACTGAACCAAGAAGAAATAGAAAATCTAAATAGACCAATCACAAGTAAAGAGATTGAAACAGTAATCAAAAACCTCCAAAAAAATGAAAGTCCAGGACCAGATGACTTCTCTAGAGAATTCTACCAAACATTCAAAGAAGATTTAATATCTATCCTTCGCAAACTATTCCAAAAAAATGAGGAAGATGAAACACTTCCTATCACATTCTATGAGGCCAACATCACCCTGATACCAAAGCCAGAGAAGGACAACACAAAGAAGGAAAATTACAGGCCAATATCACTGATGAACATAAATACAAAAATCCTCAACAAAACATTGGCAAACCGAATGCAGCAATACATTAAAAAAATCAAACACCATGATCAAGTGGGATTTATACTAAGGACACAGGGTTGGTTCAACACCAGCAAATCAATCAATGTGATACACCACATTAACAAAATGAGGAATAAAAACCACAAGATCATCTCAATAGATGCAGAAAAAGCATTTGACAAGATCCAACATCCATTTATGATAAAAACTCTCAATAAAATGGGTATAGAATAAAAGTACCTCAACATAATCAAGGCCATATATGACAAACCCACAGCCGACATCATACTCAACAGGGAAAGACTGAAAGCCATCCCTCTGAGAACAGGAACAAGACAAGGGTGCCCACTCTTGCCACTCTTATTCACATAGTACTGGAGGTTTTGGCCAGAACAATTAGGCAAGAAAAAGAAATAAAAGGAATCCAAACAAGCAACGAAGAAGTGAAACTCTCACTGTTTGCCAACAACATGATTTTATATATAGAAAACCCTAAAGAATCCATTAGAAAACTATTAGAAATAATCAAGAACTACAGCAAAGTTCCAGGGTACAAAATCAACTTACAAATATCAGTTGCATTTCTATACTCTAATAACGAACTAATACAAAGAGAACTCAAGAATACAATCCCATTTACAATCACAACAAAAAGAATAAAATATCTAGGAATAAATTTGACCAAGGAGGCGAAAGACAATGAAAACTATAAGACATATTGAAAGAAATTGATGATGACATAAAGAAATGGAAAGATATTCCACGCACATGGATTGGAAGAATAAATATAGTTAAAATGTCCATACTACCTAAAGCAATCTACAGATTCAATGCAATCCCAATCAGAATCCCAAGGACATTCTTCATGGAAATAGAACTAAGAATCCTAAAATTCATATGGGGGCAACAAAAGACCCCAAATAGCTAAAGCAATCCTGAGAAAAAAGAACAAAGCTAGAGGCATCATAATCCCTGACTTCAAAATATACTACATAGTGTAATAATCAAAACAGCATGGTACTGGTACAAAAACAGACACACAGATCAATGGAACAGAATCGAAAGCCCAAAAATAAAACCACACATCTATGGACAGCTTATCTTCAACAAAGGTGCTAAGAACACAACGATGGAGAAAGGAAAGTCTCTTCAATAAATGTTGTTGGGAAAACTGGACAGCCAGATGCAAAAGAATGAAAATAGACCAGTATCTTTTGCCATACACAAAAATTAACTCAAAATGGATCAAAGACTTGAAAGTAAGACCTGAAACCATAAAACTCCTAGAAGAAAATATAGGCAGTACACTCTTTGACATTGTTCTTAGAAGGATCTTTTCAAATAGCATGTCTACTTGGACAAGGAAAACAAAAGAAAAAATAAACAAGTGGGATTCTATCAGACTAAAGAGCTTCTGCAAAGCAAAGGAAACCCAGAATGAAATGAAAAGACAGCCCATCAACTGGGAGAAAATATTTGCAAATCATATATCCGGCAAGGAGTTAATCTCCAAAATATATAAAGAACTCACACAACCGAACAGCAAAAAATCAAACAACCTGATCAAAAAATGGGCAGAAGATATGAACAGACATTTTTCCAAAGAAGATATACAGATGGTCAATAGGCACATGAAAAGATGTTCAACATCACTAATCATCAGGGAAATGCAAATCAAAACTACACTAAGACATCACCTTATACC